TTTATGTTTTACAGAATCCAAGATTATCGATCATTTCAAGCAATTTAACTTTGTCAATAAAATTTACTTTTTAATTTTTTTTTTTTCTATGACTGGTTTTGTGATAAAGTTTAAGTCGTGAGACACCATTGATAATTTATCATTTTGATACTTTATTTCATTGAATCACAAATTATAATCAGTGTTTTCGTAAATTAAATCAACCAAATCATCGTAATGAAATTCACTTAGGTTACGTTATTCAAAGTGGTGTATTCTATTCTATTTTTTTACTAACCAAGAAGATATATAAATCTGATATAAATTTGTGAAGGTATTGAAAACAGTTTTCGAATAATATAAATTAAAAATAAATAATTTTAACCTTCTAGTTACAGCAAAGAATCAGATTAATGACTAAAAAAAATTGTACGGACCAGTTTTTTTATCTTTCACTTGCGATAACGGCGAGAGATTCAAAGGTTAAGAAAGGTTTTCCACGTTTCCATTTCCTCCAAAGGATCATCAATTTTCTCAAAACGCCATTTAATGTAAATTTCCTTTTTTAAACTAATTCTATTCCAGTAACTTTTTTTGGCTATATAATAACAATCATTGTACAAATATTGAAAATATCTTTTTCAATCCGTGTTTGATCGCTATAAACAAAAAACTATTAAGAGTTGTCCTCCATTGATAGGAGAAAATGAAATATAAATTAAATTAAAGATAACTTATTTGAGAAAGTTACAAAAATGGTATTTATATTACAATAAATACCATTGAACTTCCGAAATAAAAAAAATATCCAAAACCCAATGATATAATAATGGACATAGCTCAGAATTATTCATCAAATTATACATTTAAAACTACTTAAGATTCAACAACTTTCTAATCGACGATCACAATAAAATGATTTAAAATTATATTAAAAAATAATTAATTTCAAAAATAAATCGTTTAATTATGAAATCTATAATCTATTGCCATCTCATATTTCTTAAGTCCTAGCTAGAAAGTATTTATTATTGTAAAAAACAGTTCCAGTAGTAATCTATTGTTATAATGTTATTGTCTGCTTAAGTCCAGTCCATTATAGGAAGATAAATTCAGGAAATGAAACTGATTAGGTAAGTTTTATAAATTTAGCAATGCGGACATACGCATTATAAAAATATTATAGTTTCATTATGAAACCAAAGAGCTTCCTAGCTTATTTCGTAATGTTACTGAATTAATGCTTAACATAATTTTTAGATTTCATCGGAAAATGATGATTTTACAAATGGGGAAAGTAAAAATAAGCACATTTGAAGTATTTATAGGACAAACAGTATTTAAAGAAAAACACTGCACTGACCTAGAAAATAATAAAAGCTTTAAAATGCTTCATATCAAATTTAAAGCTGTATAAAAGCAGGTGTCATGCAATTCATCAAAGCTTTGTAAGTGCGAAAAGTGCTTGAATTGCGAAGCATATATATGTATAAAGTTTGTCTCCCTTTAATGGTACAACTGGAATCAAATTCAACGAGATAACAAAATGCGATTACTTTAATAATTGATGTAAATTTGCGTCAAACCTGCTCGTTTAATATGCAAAAATATAATAAAAAAGTTGTTTATTATGATCTATTATGATGAAGAGACAGTTCACCAACCATTAACGTTGTGAATTCTAAATCTATAGATTATTATCGTTAAGATATTTTTTCTTGATATAATATATGATAAGCTGTCGAAACATTATATTTTAATTAATAATTTCATACCTACAGTATAAAAAATTGATTTAACTGTTTTTTCATCTTTAAAAATTCCACACTTTAAAAATTTATCTGTGGAGAAAAAAAATCGTGGGAGAACCGTAGTTTAAAGAACCATTAAATATTCGTAAGCTGCGACCGTTTAAGAGCAGAGAATATCACAATTTTCTCTCCAAGTTTAAACTAAAATGGTTTCAGGTTGAATAGGCAAAATAGTAATGAAAATTTTACTGAGTTAGTGACTTTTAATAGAAATTGAATATTACCATAAAATATTGATATTATAAATGTACGTACTATTTAGAAAAAAAATCCTAGTTAATTTACGAAATACAAAATTTTATTCTATCATAAGGTAAACAAAAAACAATGAATAAGAGACAAAAACGAAACAATAAGAAATACCAAGCTTGATTGCAGGTTTTAAATTTAATTTCACATTGATTTTTAATATTAAATTTTAATTTTTTTATTGTTTCTATTGATCAATTTTTTTAGTATCACACATATGTACTTATTAAAAAAAAAAAACAAACTCACAGGTAACAATTTCAGTAGAAAAAAGAATTGATAAACAAAATTGAAAATAAATAACGAATATTAATATTATTATGTATAATAAAGCAGATGAAGTTAGGAACAAAATTTTTTTTAAAACAATTTTTCGTTTTAAAAATACGACTAAGAAAAAATTAGTAGAGTTTTCTTCTTTTATAGCGATTCTGCCTGTGTCTGCCTATATACATATAGATATATGCATCTGTGTTTTTTATCGGTCTTAACTCGAAATAAAAATCTTTTGATAACCTTCGATAACCGGAAAGGATTAAAAATTTGTATAAGTGGGTGGTAAATGATGAATGATTTTGTATTAAGAGTTGATATATTGTTAAATGTTTGTACTAATTTTTTGTAACTTTTTTTTTTAATGCCAAGTCGTAGAGGCTTATCAGCCATAAGACATTGAGCAGCTCTCTACAGGTTTGATTTTCTTTTATAAGGATTGATAGTTATTTACCTTCCTATTCGCGCTATTGAAACAAATTTGAACGGCTGAAAATTGTTAATGGCTAAGGGATTTAGAATTATTTCAATTGTTTTATTTTTTCAAATATATAACTAGTTTGGATTTTATGAATGGAGTAATTTCTACAATAATTTAACTTTAGGTCCAAATAAGTTTCTTGATTGTAACATGCTTAAATTCGGAGAAAACACAGGTTGAAAGAAGCTAAAGAGAAAACCAGGACGAATTTCGGATAGAAAAAAATGTTTTCCGAGTACTAAAGAAATTAAGGAAAGTAAAAGCTTCTTCTCAGAAGTTTGTCAAAGGCAAATAAGGAGATATATTACGATAGAATGATAAAATCATGGAAGAGTGGTGAGAATGTTTTCAGAAATTACTGGATGAAAGAAGATAGAGGAAAACGAGTATTTCTGAAAAGAAAACGACTTTTTCGATGAACACGGTCCCGAAAAACTACATAAAAAATAAATTTTTTTCCATATGGAAGTACTTTTATAGCTCAAGGACTCTAAGGAAGGGAATCAATCGAGAATTCGGATGATGAATGAAATTCTACCAAAAGATCAAAGGAGAGAGATGAGGCAAAATACTTAGGTAAAAAATTATTTTCAGTCATAGACCTAAGGTAAGGAAAAAAGTGACGAATAGTAATGTGGTCCGTACATGACTCAAAAAGTATCAATCAAGGGTAGTTGTTCTCTAAAATAACTTCATGAAAGCTAGTAAATTTCCCTGAAAACGAAAAAATCTACTGAACAATGTTAGATAAACGGCGTAGTATTGTACTTTCCATCTGCGTTTTTTTGAAAGTATTCAGCTCATGTTTTAATGGAAATCCGTTAACTCATTTTTAGCTTTTCGAATAACAAATAAAATATGCATCTTCTGGAATAGTCTGTGTTACAGACTCCTTTTTATCAAAATTATCAACGTATGTATAAAGCTTCGTGAATGGATTCAAATTATTGTATTATACAATTTTTTTATCTACAAAATTCTCTTTGTTTATTTCTCAAGAAATGAGACATTTCTTGTAAAATTATTCAATTAATGAGGTGCTAAAAACTGGTGAACACTCGTTTGGTTTCTACTTGAATCATAAGATAATTTGATTTCAATATCGAGAAAAATGTGGCCTACAAAAATATTGAACCACTTGGTCTACATAATCTCATTATTTGCCAACAACCCAATATTTTTGTAAAACTTTTTCTTGATTTTTTAATCTAATGATCTCAGGTAATTAACATACTAAAAGTTAATTCATAATGACCTTTTTTTGGCAGGCAATTGCGAATAGCTTTCCGCTTTAGTTAGGAAACTAGGTTATTTAAACTCTTAGATATTAAAACAAAACCCCGGCACTGGCTATAGACTTTTTGAGGGTGTTTAACTGTTGTTAGGAATTCGGAAACCTAATACTTTTGTGACACTGAGTGGCAAGAAATAATAAGAGTATATATATATATATATATAACTGAATCTTATCGTCTTATAACTGTAGGCTTGATATTCTTATTCTTCAAAGTAGCAAGCTTCTCTTCTAAGATAACGTCGTTCCGCCTTACTGTCCCAGCCTCAAGTGCCTTCTTCTCTCCCTGGTGTCCTTCTCCAGGTGCTGCTACCTGACCGGACCTTTTTCCTTCTTCATCGATTGTTTATCGATATAAGACTTTTCAATAAATAAGTTGTCCAGTGCACAATTGAATACAATTCACAGTGCAACCCCACATTCCTTTACGTTCCCTCATGCAATGTCACATAAAGGAGTAAATACAGGGTGATGTCTACTACACTCATTATTCAAGTGGAAATCAAATGAGTGTTCATGAGTATTTATTTTCTCACTAAATATACGAAGTTTACCGATCTGTAGATTGAAATAGCCACATTTCTGAGAAATTTCGTAAATGCGTGTGTTGTAGATGAAGTCATTCATCTTCTAAAGGAGTTCTAGAAGGACTAGAATATTCTATAAGCTCAATTTAAACATAATTAATTTTTTTATAAAGCAGCATTAAAAAAAAATGTTTATCTCAATTGGACCATTAATAAAAGGATGCTGATGTTAAAATTAGCTGTTCAACAGAATCAGTAAATGACAGGTGTTAATATTTATAACCATCATTTTTTGTCTACCTAAACTATTCATTAAATATGATTATACCCATAAAGGGAGACATAGAGAATACTTTATAATAAATATTATAAATAAAGGTGAAGACGTGAAGCTGAAACTTGCCGTTGTTATACGAACCGCGGACGGCCAGCCTGAGGTAGTGCCTGTCCGTGCCCTTGTCGTTCTCCACCTTGAGGAAGTAGGTCCTCGAGTCTGTCGGGTCCACCTGTCGCACGTGCAGCCTCGCCTCGTAGCAGTCTTCGCGCTTCTCCTGCTGCAAGATGCAAATCAACAGTTAATTAATTATTTTAAGATTAAATATATAATCAAAATTAATTAACTAAATACTTGGATTATAGATGAAATGAACACGCAAGTCAAGATTGCTGGCGTAAGCAGAAGCGGATTCAGGATTTAATTTGGGAGGACTTAACACATTTTTTTATAATGATAATTTCTTTCGATTCCAAGGAAGCTATTGTCAAAAGCTCTCGAGGAAGCAAATATATCAGATTCCATAATAACCACCATAAAAGAAATTTACCACAATAATGCGTTACCTGCCCTGTTAAACTAGGGTTAAATCTCTCTGAAAAATTCCAAACCTCAAAAGGACGTTTGTAGGGATGCTGCCTTTCGTCTACTCTTTTTAAAATGTATGTCGATGTTGCTCTCTGAGATTGAAAAAGAAAATGTGGAAAAATGGGAATAAGGGTTGGGGAAACTTTATGCATCATGAACCTAATATTTGCTGATGATCAAGTAATCATAGCCAAGGATAGATAGGACATCGATTATATGTTCAGAAAGGTTTTCAAGAGTTATGAAAAGTGGTGGTTCAATATTACCTTCATGAAAACAGAGCACCTTGACACACCATCAAATAAGAAAGATGTATAAAAACTCTAGAGAAATTTAAATACCTCGGATCAATTTTTAATAGAGAAGGCACATCCACCATATCGACAGAAAAATTGGTGAAGGAAGAAAGGCCATAGTAATACTCAACAGTATCCTTTGGAGATCGAATAAATAGCCCAGTCAAAAGAGGCTAATATACAAGGATATATTCCAGCCAATTACGACATATGCCTCAGAGACTTGGTTCATCAATACAAGACACCGAAACCGCCAGTTCCCAGTATTATTAGATGGAATTTCGGAGAAGGACCGCAACAACATGCAGAAGGGAAGGAATAAAAAAATGAATGAATTCTGAAAAAATGTTATAGTAAATATTGGTTTCTACATGTGAAAATAATGACGCCTGAAAGATTGCTGAAGATATGTATGGAGCTGGAAGTAGAAGGGAAAAGGAAAAAAAAGAAAACCAAGGGTAAAATGGAAAGAAGCAGTGGAAGAAAGCTTGGCGAATCGTGGCATCATAGAAGAAGAAGCTTTGGATAGATAAGAATGGTAAAATATCTTAAAGGAAATTTAGGTCAATGACAACCACAGTAGTGGAAAAGTCTTTAAGAAGAAAATAATCTGGAAAAAAAACGGTAAAAGGTAAAATCTCCAGTTTTCGGCACCCTTAAGGAAACTTTAAAATGTGTTCATTCCGTTTTCAATCGCGTGGGTACTTGGTTCAACAATTTCTGTTTCGTCAATAAAGATCTCTAGTTTCTAAATATATATGAAAAACAGTTCTTTCGTTTATTTTTTATTGTAAAACGGAGAAATGTAAAAATATCCGTATGCTCCGGTTATGGTCAATCTGGAGAACTAGTTTTTTTGTAAACCTTACTCAATTTTCTAAAACCTTAAGAATTAAGTCTGGCACTCTTCAGAATGTGGGTTTCTGGTAAAAAAGGGTATGACACGATCTTCGTGGGCGATACATGTCGGGTTAATTATGCCAAGCAATTTTTTCGACCTATGAAATGAAATAAATAATGGAGGATGCTAAAATATACGAGCGCAGGAGGGATTTCCGTTTCAAGTGAGCGCCTTTCGGTAGCTCTAGACCATTCCTTTCTATCTTCTTTTCTTCATCTACCTTCTTAGGCCAAATCTAGCGTGGAGAAGCCTCAATCCGACGCTGCAAAGCCTCACGTTCCCTGCGGAGTCGCTTCATTGGTTAAGAAGTTTTTCCTCCAATCCTCCGGATACATTCGTCATACAAAATTCTAGGTCATCGAGGCGCGTGGCCTCTTGCCAGTAGGTCGAACTTACATAGTCTTTCTGGGTTACCGGTCCTTCGAGAAACATGGCACATGAAAAACCAGAAGAGACAGCGTGTATCTTCTGGATTTTCCTGCGACCCTACCTAAGCATCTCAGTCCAGCTCTGTGATTCTACTTATATGGTTCAACTTATTACGATTAATTTATTTTCTTTATTAAATTAAAGTTTTAAATTATAAGTTATCGTATAAATAATAAAATTACCTGTACAAGCTGCTCAGCCTGGAAGCGGCCGAGCCCCTGGCCAACCTGAAGGTGGAGGCTGCCCCATTCCCAGCTGGCATGGCGTGGCCTCGGGTCGGCACACACCACCAACCCCAAGGTTGCGTCTTCGCCCCGCAGAGCCGTCACCTCCCCGCCCCAGCTGCCCCTCAGCACCTGAGGTCCTCCTGCAACAGAATAATATCATTATAGTGGTAATATAATTTAATATAACTATGGAAATGAAAATGGATTTCCAGTTAGCAAGAGTGGAACCGTTCTACGCTTTATTAATATATACAGTTAAAATGAAGATGATCATTAACTATTAACTTTGCTTAGACTGAGCTAATTGTATAGGAAGTACTATTGTTACCTAGCATCCAAAGCGAGTATAATAAATAAGTTAAGAAGACTGAATAACAATAAAATAATACTGAGAAAACTGAACAAGAAATATAACAAATAATATTCATTTTTATTTTAAGCTCCCAGTAATCCTTTCAAAGAACTAGCTCCCGACTTTTAAACTCCTGACTTTTAAATTTAATCCATTTAATCAGGAAAGTTGTGAAGGGAGCATAGTGAACGATAACAAGCACTTTTTTAGAACTTATTTACTGAGAAATATTTCAATCTGTCTCATAGGACATTTACGATAATGTTTATAGAGCACATCCGAACTTTATGTGCAATAAATAAAAATTAATTAAACAGCAAAAGAACTAAAAATAAATGTATATAAACAAAAAGAACAACAAAAAATAAACTAATCAAAATAACAACTTAAAGACAAACATGATTTTAGATAGATAGATAGATAAATAGAAAAATAACTTTATTCTGGGACACAGTCCCTTGAGAATAACAAAATAGAACAAAATTAAAAGATTACATCTGGCCAAAATAAAATCAATCGAAAAAAAGAAATAATGTAAAGAAAATATAAGGTAAACATTCTATATACAAAACAATTAATACTATGACAAGACACCTAAAGCTATTTGTACTAATAGACCAGTATACATTTTTAAGAAAATAATAAAGAATTAAAAAATAAACATATATCAAATTCTCTGTTAAAATCAGCTCGAATGGTTAGCAACTATCTAACTGTTTTTGGGATAGGAATTGGAATAGGAGGGTTTCGAATGTGGATATGGATGGGGAATGTCGAATTTTGATAGGGAGGGAATTTCCGAAATTGACAGAGCGAACAATAAAGGAATTTTTGAATGAGACAGATCTACGAAAAGGCATTTAAAGGTTAGAAGGTCGAGATCTTGTGGACAGGGGATGGATCGAGGATTTGAACTGGAGAAGGTTGTAGGCGTAAGAAGGACGATGGTTGTTGATGATTTTGTAGAGGAACGTACCTAGGAAATATTGTCTTCGGAAGGAGGGGAAAAGCCACTTTAACTCAGCTTAGTGGTGAGAAACATGGGAGTATCTTGGGACCCCGATCACAAATCTTACGCAGCTGTTCATTAGTCTTTTCAGTCTATCGCGGAGCTCCACAGTTTATACTATATTTACAAAATTCATTCACTTAATGAAACTCCAAGCCAAGTCTTCCCCTCCCTTCACTCGTGGAAGGAAAGTCTCGTGGAAGGAAAGTCAGGACACTATGAGATCACCACGACTTGCAATCCGCTCCATTATTGATATTTTAAAAAAAATATATATATTTTCTCTAACGAAACTAAAAAAATAATTGAATACATAAATGCATTCATAGGGAAACGAATTTTTTAAAATTTATTTTATTATTTCATCGCCCACACTTGACAGAAATATTGATAAACAGTGGGTCGGCGTGAGGAAGAGCATATCTATATATCTGCATATCTATATAAAGATAGCTTCCTATCTTGATTATATTATAATTAAAAATTTTTTTTTTTTAGCATGTTATGTTACAAGGTTTAATTTAGTTGGCATGTTATGGTATTCATGTAATGTTTGTGACGTAGAATGAAGATTTAGCAATAGTTCTGAAAGTTTTCACTGATTATTTGTAGTTCACAGCTTTTTGACTGTCCCGTATATCTGTGAAGGTTATGTCCAGATAGGCTACGAATGCAGATAAAAGTAAGTGTTCTATTTCCATTTTTTTTTATTGTTGATATTTACAACTGTATTACAAATAAAAATACATTAAGTAAATGTGAACAAAAGAATATAATAACATGAAACCACTTTTTGAGAAACTACCCACTGGTAGCACTCTAAAAACGAATTTACAAAAGGAGATGGCCTCGAATCTTCTTTCGAGAGTTGTCAGGGATCGAAGAGGAAGCAAGGTTAAAAATGATAGGGTTTGGATGGTTTTGAAGTTTGTTACGGAAGGATAGGTATCTGGATCGGGCCATGTCAGAAACATAAGGAACATTAAGGTCGTTATGGATGATTTTATTTGTGACAAAGTAAGGAGCAGTGACGATTTTACGAGGGATTGGATACGAGAGGAATTCGATGGTTTAGTGGAGCCCCAGAGCTGAACTCCGTAAGTCCAAATAGGCCTTATTGTAGTCATGTATATTAGTCTTTTGTAATTGACTGGGAGCTTACAGCGTTTGTCTAGTAAGTGCTGGAGTAGTCAGAAATATCGAGCGGTTTCTTGTCGTTTCAGTCTGGTATGAGGATTCCAAGTTAGACGTTTGTCTAAGTGGAGTCCAAGATATCGAGTTTGTTCAACAGGGATAAGTGGGCTATTATTAAAAGATACTGTTGGACAGGAGGACATATTTCTAATTCAATTTATATTTTAAATGAAGATAAAAAAAATATGCAGAATAATAATTCAATGTTTCCAAAATATTCACTATAATAGAATCAAGTAAATGGTTCTGAATAATAAAACTGTGTTGAAATGAAAAAAAAAATATATTCATATTAACCTTTTTGTGGCTAATTTGTATATTAAAAAAAAGGACAAAAGGTATAGCCTTAATTTTCTAAAAGAACGCGGTTAATTAAAGGAAGGGATTTATGTTAGGTTGTATCCCAACGGTCAGCAACGCTAAGAATTATTGGGAGGGCTCCAGCAGGAGATTGCTTTTTGGCGCGGAAGTGATTCAGCACACCCTCCAGAGACAAATGATATTCATTTTTTTCCAAAAAATTATTTATTACTTTAGGAGGGGGGAGGGAGAACCGCTTTGCTCTTTTGTTTTATTCAATATGTCAACTCGTTCGAACTTCCTAGCAAATATCCGAATTTATTTTCGAAGATTAATCAACCGTGACAAGCCCAGTTCGACTGCAGTAGTATATCTCTTTGTTCGGTTATCGTTATCATATCCGTCCATAATTCTTCAGCATTTGGTAATGCTGCCGATAGATCAACTCATTAAGTGTGATAATGATGAGGGAGGTTAATGAATTTCACATATTATACAAAATGACAAAATATGGTAATAAAATATATTCGCTGAATGAAACGATTCCCAAGTTAATTTAAATTGAATAGTTTGGTATCTTTCAGATATAGAATTCGGAACGAAAAATGAAATGACTTGACTTTAATTCGGTTTTCGAGCCCGATAGATAAAACTTCAAAAGGCAAATAACCTTTTCAGGTCCTCTCATCAACTAAGTTCTGATAATTATTATTTGTAAGAGTTATTCCGATACAGAAATGAAAATTCCTAACGATTCCAGGAAATTACCATTACTTTGAAAAAATATTAGTTGGCTCAGAAACACTTCAATACAGGCAGATGAAATACATCAAACAGCTTATCATGGTAAGATTAGAAAGCTAGAGAGTTGATAAACTAAGGCACTAATTATATTTCATTGTTAACTGTTCGATGATATCTCTAATTGTAAATTGTTAAAATTTGTTTATCATAACTAGTGTTGCCCAAATGCGAGACCGAGGCCGAGAGAGAAATGCGAGTCTTGGACTTGCAAACTCAGTCTTGGTCTTGCGCAAGAGTCTCACAACATTCTTGCAGTTACTTATTAGCGTATTACTGTAATTTTTTAGATAGGAGAAACCTAACTAAACCCAAATGAAGAATTAGAGGAGTTAAATGGAAAATGCTAGACCAAGACCGATTTTGGGCAACATTATCATAAAATAAAATGAATAGTAAAACACAAAAAGAATTTTAAATACTGTTCAGAGAGGACATTTTTTTAAACTTAAGAAAAACAAAACCAACATTTATTTAAACTCCAAACATTAAAAAATAGTGTCAAAACTGGAGGATTAAATTAATTGCAATAAATCACATCAAATTACCTTTACCCTTCGTCGTAAACTAATGCCTTCCTGTTCTACAAAATCCTTTAATAATACTCCATTTATCACCGTTGAACAAATTCGGTACCTAGGACACTACTTGAACAAGCATCTGACTTCGAATCCATATACAAAATTAAAACGCAAGAAACCGCTCAACGTTTCTGACTAATCCAGTATTTACTAGACAAACGCTCTAAACTTTCAATTAATTGCAAAAGACTCATATATATGACTATAATAACGCCTATTTGGACATACGAAATTGAGCTTTGGGGGTCCACTAAAATATAAAACTTCTCTCATATTTATCTTCAATGTTCCTTACTTTGTCACAAATAAAATAATCCATAAAGACCATAATGTTCCATATTTTTCCGATTTGACGCCACAGCGTTAATTTATTTAATTTTTTGTTTAAAGAATATTCTAGTTAATTGTTATTTTGGTTTATCTCATCGGATGGAATCAATTAATAATCTTATATATATATTCATAGAGCCATAGCTTATCTTGTGTTTGATAGACTGATTAATAGTTTATAACTAAATATAAAACCTAGCTATAAACAAGTCTTAATTTCAAGTCCTACGCCCGTAGACTTGGCAATACACAGTCTGACTCCGTCCGTCACTGAGCTCAGTACTGCCAATCTGATACTGCCCACTGCAGTCCTACTGGAACGAGATAGATACTTATTTATGCAGATTTGCTACTGCCTTTTAGTAATTTACGAGTACTCATTGAAGATCTACGTTTAATCGCAGTGGGAGGACTGGAGTACCAGCGGTTCGCCACCTACGTGCGACCAGGTAACGTTCAACTTTTGTATAGCTTTCAATATAGTGTAACAATATATATATATATATATATATATATATATTTATCTCTATTATTGAGTGGAGTTTGGGAAAGTTACATGTCATTTTATTTCAT